GGGAAAGACAAAGATTAAAAATTTAAAAATTCATGTCAACTTTAGATTCTTTGGATTGTAATGTTCTCATTTCTTTGTGGGGTTTTTGCCTTCACATACAATTTGTATCGGGATCAATTTCACAAGTTAAAAATGCCTTTTTTTTTTTTCCCCCCCCTGGTTAGAGGGCTTGTGCACTCACCAGAGAGAGGAAGAGGAGAAAGCAGCCCCCTTCCCTGGGGGGAGTGGGGGGATGGTCATGCGACAATCCCTTCTCCATTGTTCCACCTGGCTGGGATTTTGGGCATGCATATGCACAAACACACCTGTCATGTTTCTCAAACTGCCAGGTCTGGGATTTGAACCTCGTGTGGTTGGCCATGTGAGATCTGGCTGCTTTAACCACCAAGTCACTGAGCTGGCCCAGATTTTTTTTTTAAGTCAGTAATTTTGACTGATTCAATAACTTCATATAGGCAATCTCAATTCCCTGAGCATTTTTCTTAGCTACCATATTGAGCAATAATGATTTGGTAAGGAATATAGGGTTTGGGGAAACCATACCTTTCATCTTTGTCACTAGGTGGCAGCGTGTCCACTACTGAGCCATCTCTGTCCTTTTTTGAGCTCTGATACAAAAAAGGGGGAAAGAATTTTGAAATTAGATAGGCAATAATTTCATAAAACACTTTGATTTCTCCAAGAATGGTTACTGAAATGTATATGTGATTTAAGGAAAAGAGGTGAATTCTTAATAGAAAATTTAGCGAGCAAATAAAAACTACATGGCATGCATTTGTAGCACGCCCAATATTTCAGGCTTACATATAAAATATTAATGTTTCAGCACTAATGCATTCATTATTTGAGGGCAGTTCATTATTTCCTTCTTAGAATAAGAGACATCCCAACCTTTATAAACTAATAAGCAAGAGCTATAAAATTTTATCAAGAGTGTAATACATTTAAAAGCCTTAAGCTTCCATCTGAACTCTGGATTTTCTATGCCTGCAATCTTTTTATCTTCAAGGAGAAGATACATTTCTGTCCAGGTCTTAAACCACAGAAGCACTTGGTGTCCCTCCCCACCCACAGAGTGCCCTGCCCACGGCATCAGCACCTGATCTGGCAATTCTTGCTCTTGCCTCTGCTGGATGATTTTCATGTATTTCTCTAAAGGGTTTTGACTGTGAGCAGATTTGTCCTTCGATTCTTGCATACTCTTTTCTAATTCTTTTTCCATTTCAATCTTCAATGATTCCTCAATCATCCTCTATAAAACAGAAGGGCACCAATATAGGACACACGTACTCAAATGTATGATTTTAAAATCTTGTGTTTAGGAGACCAGCAGTTAGCGTAATGGCTATGTCGCTGGACTCCCACGTAGTTGACCGCGGTTCACGTCCCGGACCTGGTGGCTTAAAACTCACGCCAGGCGCGTGTGCGTGCGTGCCCAGGATCCCAAGAGGAGAATGGAGGAGAAGGGATTGCAGCATGGCCATCCCCCCTGGGGGGTGATTTCTCGCTTTCTGTCTCTCTCTGTCTGTCTGGCAAGC